TTGAAGAACAAAAATTTTTTCTGTTTGTCATTTGTTTATGAAGCGTGATGTTGCATGGACAAGCATATGTCTGAACTAATGAAGACACCCATAACTGAATCAGGTTTCGAACATGTGGTTTTTTATATCTGTATTGTCTTCGCTTGATTAAATTCAAAACTAATTTTGAAAATTTCTTATATTATCTCGTCCTTGAGTGGTTTTTGGCTGATCTCTGTCTATGAAGTTTTTTATTGCGTGTAAATGCATAATTCAGAGAAATTGGAAACGATTTTGATCTAGATCGCTATAATTGTCCTTACAATTTCTCCTGTCTTGAAATTCGCTAGAAATTTTGAAAACGTCTCAACTAAATAAATTTTTTCCCTTTGTCTGTTGATTTTTATAGCTCTTCTGACTTCTGAGCTCAAGGTCCTCTCTGCTTTTTGAAGAACAAAAATTTTTTCTGTTTGTCATTTGTTTATGAAGCGTGATGTTGCATGGACAAGCATATGTCTGAACTAATGAAGACACCCATAACTGAATCAGTTTTCGAACATGTGATTTTCATATCGGTATTGTCTTCGCTTGATGAAATTCAATACTAATTTGAAATTTCTTATTTTATTTCGTCCTTGAGTGGTTTTTGGCTGATCTGTCTATGAAGTTTGTTACTGCGTGTACATGCATGCCTGAGTTATCGGAAACGATTTCGATCCAGATCGCTATATTTGTCCTTACAATTTCTCCCGTCTTGGAATTCGCTAGAAATTTTGAAAACGTCTCAACTAAATAACTTTTTTCCCTTTGTCTGTTGATGTTTATATCTCTTCTGACCTAGCTCAAGGTCCTCTCTGCTTTTTGAAGAACAAAACTTTTTTCTTTTTGTCATTTGTTTATGAAGCGTGACGTTGCATGGACAAGCATATGTCTGAACTAATGAAGACACCCATAACTGAATCAGGTATCGAACATGTGGTTTTTTATATCTGTTTTGTCTTCGCTTGATTAAATTCAAGACTAATTTTGAAAATTTTTTACATTATCTCGTCCTTGAGTGGTTTTTGGCTGATCTCTGTCTATGAAGTTTTTTTATTGCGTGTACATGCATATTTCAGAGAAATTGAAAACGATTTCGATCTAGATCGCGATATTTGTCCTTACAATTTCTCCTGTCTTGAAATTCGCTACAAGTTTTGAAAACGTCTCAACTAAATAAATTTTTTCCCTTTGCCTGTTGATTTGTATAGCTCTTCTGACTTCTGAGCTCAAGGACCTCTCTGCTTTTTGAAGAACAAAAATTTTTTCTGTTTGTCATTTGTTTATGAAGCGTGATGTTGCATGGACAAGCATATGTCTGAACTAATGAAGACAGCCATAACTGAATCAGGTTTCGAACATGTGGTTTTTTGTATCTGTATTGTCTTCGCTTGATAAAATTCAAGACTACTTTTGAAAATTTCTTATATTATCTCGTCCTTGAGTGGTTTTTGGCTGATCTCTGTCTATGAAGTTTTTTATTGCGTGTACATGCATATTTCAGAGAAATTGAAAACGATTTCGATCTAGATCGCTATAATTGTCCTTGCAATTTCTCCTGTCTTGAAATTCGCTACAAATTTTGAAAACGTCTCAACTAAATAAATTTTTTCCCTTTGTCTGTTGATTTTTATAGCTCTTCTGACTTCTGAGCTCAAGGTCCTCTCTGCTTTTTGAAGAACAAAAATTTTTTCTTTTTGTCATTTGTTTATGAAGCGTGATGTTGCATGGACAAGCATATGTCTGAACTAATGAAGACACCCATAACTGAATCAGGTTTCGAACATGTGGTTTTTTATATCTGTATTGTCTTCGCTTGATAAAATTCAAGACTAATTTTGAAAATTTCTTATATTATCTCGTCCTTGAGTGGTTTTTGGCTGATCTCTGTCTATGAAGTTTTTTATTGCGTGTACATGCATATTTCAGAGAAATTGAAAACGATTTCGATCTAGATCGCTATAATTGTCCTTCCAATTTCTCCTGTCTTGAAATTCGCTAGAAATTTTGAAAACGTCTCAACTAAATAAATTTTTTCCTTTTGTCTGTTGATTTTTATAGCTCTTTTGACTTCTGAGCTCAGGGTCCTCTCTGCTTTTTGAAGAACAAAAATTTGTTTCTGTTTGTCATTTGTTTATGAAGCGTGATGTTGCATGGACAAGCATATGTCTGAACTAATGAAGACACCCATAACTGAATCAGGTTTCGAACATATGATTCTTCATATCTGTATTGTCTTCGCTTGAGGAAATTCAAGACTAATTTTAAAAGTTCCTAAGTTTATCTCGTCCTTCTGTGGTTTTTGGCTGATCTTTGTCTATGAAGTTTATTATTGCGTATACATGCTTAATTCACAATTTCTCCTGGCTTGAATTTCGTTTCAAAATTGAAAACGTCTCAATCTAAATTAAATTGTTCACTTTGTACGTTGAATTTTATCTCAATTTTGATTCAGCTGACGTTCCCTATAATTTTTGACGAACACAAACTGTTTTTGTTTGTCATTTGTTTATGAAACGTGATGTTGCATGGATAAGCACATGTCTGAACTAATGAAGGCACCCATAACTGAATCAGGTTTCGAACATGATTTTTGATGTCTGTATTGTCTTCGCTTGATGAACTTCATTACTTTAATTTCATAATTTCCTAATTCATCTCGTCTTTGTGATGTTTTTTTTTGGCTGATCTCGACGATTTCGACCTAGATTGTTTTTTTTTTCGTCTTTACAATTTTTCCTGGCTTGAATTTCGCTATTAAATTGAAAACGTCTCAATCTAAATTAATTTCTTCCCTTTGTCTGTTGAATTTAGTCTCATTTTCGAATCAGCTTACACTTCTCGATAATTTTTGGCGAAAACAAACTGTTATTGTTTGTCATTTGTTTATGAAGCGTGATGTTGCATGGACAAGCATATGTCTGAACTAATGAAGACACCCATAACTGAATCAGGTTTCGAACATATGATTTTTGATGTCTGTATTGTCTTCGCTTGATGAACTTCATTACTTTAATTTCATAATTTCCTAATTCATCTCGTCCTTGTGATGTTTTTTTGTGGCTGATCTCGACGATTTCGACCTAGATTGTTTTTTTTTCGTCTTTACAATTTTTCATGGCTTGAATTTCGCTACAAACATTGAAAACGTCTCAATCTAAAATAATTTCTTCCCTTTGTCTGTTGAATTTCATCTCAATTTCGAATCAGCTTACAATTCTCGATAATTTTTGCTGAACACAAACTGTTTTTGTTTGTCATTTTTTTATGAAACGTGATGTTGCATGGACAAGCATATGTCTGAACTAATGAAGACACCCATAACTGAATCAGGTTTCGAACATGTGATTTTTTACATCTGTATTGTCTTGCTTGATAAAAATCAAGACTAATTTTGAAAATTTCTTATATTATCTCGTCCTTGAGTGGTTTTTGGCTGATATCTGTCTATGAAGTTTGCTATTGCGTGTACATACATATTTCAGAGAAATTGAAAACGATTTTGATCTAGATCGCGATATTTGTCCTTGCAATTTCTCCTGTCTTGAAATTCGCTACAAATTTTGAAAACGTCTCAACTAAATAAATTTTTTCCTTTTCTTTTGATTTTTATAGCTCTTCTGACTTCTGAGCTCAAGGTCATCTCTGCTTTTTGAAGAACAAAAATTGTTTCTGTTTGTCATTTGTTTATGAAGCGTGATGTTGCATGGACAAGCATATGTCTGAACTAATGAAGACACCCATAACTGAATCAGTTTCCGAAAATGTAATTCTTCATATCTGTATTGTCTTCGCTTAAGGAAATTCAAGACTAATTTTGAAATTTTCTTAATTTATCTAGTCCTCGTTGTTTTTGGCTGATATTTGTCTATGAAGTCTGTTATTGCGTGTAAATGCATGTTTCAGAAATTTTGAAAACGATTTCAATCTAGATCGTCAGATTCGTCCTTACAATTTCTCCTGTCTAGCGAATATAAAGCCGAGAAAAATTCTAAACGTCCTAATCTAAGTCACTTTCTTACCTTTTCTGTTGAATTTTATATCAATTTTGAATTAGCGTACACTTCTCTATAATTTTTGACGAACAAGGGAATTATTTACCCTCAGGGAAGTTGGACTGACTGTTTGATAACGCCTTCAAAGGAAGCTATTGCAAACCCTTGTTTTTTGAGTTTGATATCTTCTTGGAACACATAATTTGTTTTTGTCTGTCTTTTGTTTATGAAGCGTGATGTTGCATGGACAAGCATATGGACGTCGTACAACAGAAAAGCGTCCATATCTACAAGCTCTACAAAATCACTTGTGAAGGCTTGCTATGACATTGACTGAGAAATCAGAAATAATTGAAAACCTGTAGATTTTTTTTGAAACTTTCTACTTAAACTTAGATACCAGTAAAATAACATATTTGAAAGACTGCTATGATGTCCTATTTTTTCCGAGTGTTTTTGGACTGAGTGAGTTTGATAATACTTCAATTAATTATTTGGCTTATAATTTTTCAATGTTTGGTTTAACAGAGAGACTTAGAAAAGATTTTACGGCGGTGGTGACGGTAAAGCATAGCTACAGGCTCAGATAATTAACCTTGGTTAGGCTTCTAGCAACCATCCTTGTAGAAAGAAGTGTGAGAATCTCATAATGTGACCTTTTTTCCACTTCCCCTACATAATAAAAACTTCCATTTTCTTTGCACATCATTATGGTTGAATGCGTGATTTCTTGCTACAAGAAAGCGTTAGGAACAGATGTGTTAGTAATCATTAAGTTCTTATTAAGGGATGGGGCTTAATGGTAATCGGAAAGAGCCTATTTTATAGTTTTGCTTCCATGATGACAGTTTCTGCTGCAATTGAGAAACAATCAATCTGTGATGTGTTAAGTTGGAGGTGGGAAGCAAATGAGTTGTTCAAACACTCTGCAATTAGACTGTTGACCTTCTCATCGAAACAATATTTGACAACTACAATAAATAAACACTCTCGAGAAGTTATTGCTGGGCGAGAAAAAGTTCTTTTTTAGTGCAAGTCTCACAGAGACCTAATATATCCCGACAAAGCTCACCCGATATAAAAGGTTTAACAGTAGATCGATTATCTAACAAAAATTTGTTGGCGAGAACTTCTTTTTGGTTGAAATATCTCGGAGGTTCGAAGTTTGCCGAGAAAGCTCAATCAAAATACTAAACTGTCTTCGATATGAAGACCAAAAAATTCCTTAAAGTTTATCCAAATCAACTGATTTTCTTAGTTTCCCTTAGTCTGATTGAATTTTACTATGGAATTGTGGGCGCCCAAAATTCGGTGAGTTTAATCAAACTGAAGTTGGAACAGGTAGGTGCAAATAAGTGCGGAAACTGATGCCTCTATCACAAAAGCGGTGAGTAAATAAAATCGGAAGATCTCTCGGCCTATTTCCCCCTACAGCAAGAAAAGGGGGGGGGAGGGTTCGTTCCTAGTTACAAAATGTAACTTCTTTTTTGACGTGATCTATTCATTTCTGAAAAGTAATGATGTCCTGAACTCAATTGTAAAAAAAAACAGGTTTTAGCCGTGCACGATTTAAAAATTATTAGTTTTTATATTTTAACGCGCGATAATTTTGTGCTATTTACGCAAAAGCGGCAATTTACTATGTAAAAAATTTTAACAAGTAAAATTGAAAAAAAATCAGAATGTAATTTTTAAGACACTGAAGTCAATCCATGGGCTGATTTAGGGCAGGGTACGCCCCCCGTTCACGGATTCGACCCACTCACCAAACAAAGTGTCCCGGCTTTGCCATTATTTTATCCCTTCTCGGGCGACAAGCCTCAATGTTTTCTAAACGCGCCTAAAATATTTGAAGTGGAGAGCTAGCCGAGTATTTGGTCTATATTTTCCACCAAGTGCCTTTTTTGACAGTTTTTTCAAAATTCGTCAAATTCTCCGTTTATCGTGCTCTGGGAGTGCTCGGAAAGAAAGTTAATTTGGTCGACCTAAAAAAAAGTTAACCAAATTTTCGAAATTTTAATTTCTCTGAAAATTTGCGTTCGCTTCTCGAGAAAATCCTAGATCCGCCCTGAGTCGATCGCTTAAATTTGATGAACGAAGTGAATTTTTTCTAACCTTCATAATTTGATTTTATGTAAGGAGAAAATCATTAGAATTTTTAAGCTCTTGTCGAGTTTTCAGGCTGCCGGCTTAAACTTTGAATTTCTCTAAGTCACAATGAAGATCAATAACCAAATGTTAGGAAATTACGCTCTCCAACAAAGACTATGTGCAAATGGCTTAAAACATAATACTTATCTTTTAATTTGAAAACGGATTGTGTTTTTATATTAACCATTGCAATGAGTAATTTACATTATGATTCAGTTTGCTCAAATAAGCTGGGGTGATCGGAAAAGTAACTATGGTAAAATATTTGGAATTTTAAAGAGCTTCTAAAGGTTATTCGTATTCTATGAAAAGTTGATTTTATGAATATATATTTTATTAAACTTCACATGTAATGAAGGCGTCCCTCATGCGCGTAGGACCGAATGCGTGAAAGTTTTATCAGGCAGTCAGGATTCATCATTCATAAGATCGAATGAGATAAGCGAAGAAACTATGTATATTTAAGGGGCATTGATTGGTTCAGATATTTCGCGCTTCGGGCCATCGCGCATGAGAATAGCCCTCCATTTTTTGGCTAATGTTTTTGCGGCAAAATTAAGGTCTCTTCGGTTATACCCCCCCCCCCCCCCCTAATTGATGAAAAATAGAAGTGAAAAATTTTATTATAAAATTAAACTGATGTGACTCAATTATGCAGAGGCTGATATCTCGAGCGTTAATTCAAGCGAGAAAATTGAGGCATTGCCACATTCATTATAGCAGAAGTCAGGTTAGGGTACAAGTGTGATAGAAGAGCCCCAAGAAACTAACCGGTTCGCTAATGTAAATAGAGTGCCTCAAAAATTATACAACTTAGAACTGATGATGTCAATTAAAGTATCGATTAGGTTTGCGCGAATTAGGCAGGTTAATTACGTTTGAGAACAAGTTTTGAGTTAGTTAATTGCTGTATTTACCTCAAGGTAATGTAATTTGGGACCCCTCTATCACACTTGTACCCAGGTTAGAAATGAACTGGTTTATCCATCCAAGTTTCCCCTTTTCGCTACAATCGAAATCAAGGAATCAGCAGTACAATATCCCCTCGCCCCAAAATCGATTTAGGGGTGAGAAAACAAGACTGCTCGTATCAGGGCGAAGCCCTGAATGTTCCGACTGCCTTTTAAGGTATTATGGAGCAGTAATAACATTAAAAATTAAATGTCTTTAAAAAAAATGAAAAATTTTTTTTCTCTAAAATTTGAAATTTTTTATGAAAATCATCCCCCCACACGCCATATAAAATAGAAAAAGATAGATTTCGCTCCTTGTAACAAATCAATTAAGGCAATAAGCTTCTTTCAACCAATTTGGAACGATTTCTGAGACGGATTAACTCTCCGCTTACGCGTTAATAGCGCGAAATATATCGCGCGTTAATTGTCCCAAATTGGCCAAAATGGCAATCTTTAAACGCCCATAACTTTACGAAAAATGATCACAGGTGAAATATCTTTTCAAATTTGAGCTCAGGGCAACAATATCTTTTGAATGATATAGAAAAATTCCGTCAAAAATGGCTAGTTAAAAAGTCGAAATTTGTCTGAAGAAAAAAAAACCCACCCCGAGCACAAATATAAAAAAAGATAGATTTCGCTCCTTGTAACAAATCAATTAAGGCAATAAACTTCTTTCAACCAATTTGGAACGATTTCTGAGACGGATTAACTCTCCGCTTACGCGTTAATAGCGCGAAATATATCGCGCGTTAATTGTCCCAAATTGGCCACAATGGCAATCTTTAAACCCCCATAACTTTACGAAAAATGATCACAGGTGAAATATCTTTTCAAATTTGAGCTCAGGGCAACAATATCTTTTGAATGATTTAAAAAAAAATTCCGTCAAAAATGGCTAGTTAAAAAGTCGAAATTTGTCTGAAGAAAAAAAAACCCACCCCGAGCACAAATATTCCGTTACTTTCGTACCGAAAGTCGGAACAATAAGCATTTTTCAGGAAACAACTTTGAGAATAGCCTAGATTTTTACAAATATAACAGTTTTAATAGAGAAAATTGATTGAAAATACATTTAGGTCATTAACAGCATTCATATGCAATCCCACATAATCGTTATGGAAACCAATTTTTTAAGCGTTTTTTCCGAAATGCATAGATTATACATATTGAATTTTTAGAATTAATACATAATTGGGAGAACGTTCTACGGTAGGTCACTTAGGGAGAGACAGATTGTACTGTTGATCCAATTAAATTGTAGTATTATAAAGTGTTTTTCCTCGAACTACAAATTATCAAATTAAATCGAAGAAAAATAAATTGATTTTCAGCAAGATAAAGAAGTTCTCTGTCGTTCTGCAAATTAACCGAGTTTTTTTTCGGTCTCGATCTTGTGTTGGAATGATAAGCAACGTCGAAAGTTAACCTTAATAAAAAGATTTTCCATATGATTGTCTCAGTGGTCTAAAGTACTTAAAATGCGGGAGTCGAAATTTACCTGGATTGGACATATATATGGCAGAAAAGCGTTTTTCAGTGCGTGGGAGGGTTCTAAATTGGCCATGTGAGCAACCAACCCATGGAGTGAAAATAGTTTTCTTAGTCTACGTGGGTTGGTTGCGCACATGGGCCAGTTTTTGGCTCAAATTGGGCCTTAAATTAATCAGAATTGATCCGTAGTTGCGAGGCTCCCCCTAAAGTTTGAACCCTCCCACGCACTGAAAAACGTTTTTTTTGCCATAAATATGTCCAATCCAGATAAGTTTTGACCCCGAATCTTAAATTATTCAGACCACTGAGACAATCAGTTTGAAAATCATTTTTCTAAGGTTAATTTTTGACGTAGCTCATCAATCCAACGCAAAATCGAGACTGAAAACAAATTAGGTTAATTTGCAGAACGACAGAGAACTTCTTATCATGCTGAAAATCAATTTATTTTTCTTCGATTTCTTAAGATAATTTGTAGTTCGAAGAAAAATACTTTACAATACTACACTTTAATTGAATCAACAGTGCAATCTCCTTCCCCCTAAGGGTGCTTCCGTTCCAATATTTCCACCTCAAAACTCTAAATCGAACTTGGCTATTTAGATTAATTTTGATTGCTTTGAATGCAAAATTTGGCCGACAGAAGAAAAAGCCGAATAATTTCAAGTTGGCTGAAAAATTTTTATGGTCAGTCTTTAAAAAAAGCTGTTAATTAAAGACTTTTGATAACTCAAATAGGACAAAAATAATTTTGGCTAACGAATTGAGGCTAATTGAAAAATCTGTTTCAGTTGAAAAATTTTGCTTTTTGTTTTGCGCAAATTACTCATTACTGATTGGCTGAAAATTGAACAATTTGTTCCAGAAACCACGTGAACTTTATTCCTCTCAACCAGACTGTGGGACAGTTTGTTCGCTTGGTCCCAAAAAAATTCTTGAGCATTAAACTTGGCATGAAATTTTATTATTTGCGTTAGAAGATGCAGTTTTTTTGCCTTTGAGCTCTGCAGTTTTTTTGCCTTTGAAAATGCCCCTGCTCAAGTTCGGAGAGTGGATATTCTAAGGTATGTGGGGGGATGGGGTCTACAAAGAAGCGAATTTTTGTTGCACGAGGGGAGATAGAACTGTGAAAGTTTTTCTAGTTTAAGTTGAAAAGTCAGTGAAATTGAATTTTTACCACGGTCACAGTAATATCGCCGTTCATGTGAATGTTCAAGACGCAAAGAGAAACGTTAAAACTTGTATCAAAAAAGTTTTGCGGTTAAAACAATCTGAAGTAGAGATGCTGCACAATAATTCGAAATAGACAATCTTCAGAAGCTATTTTACCCAAAAGTTTGCTGTGCATTTCAGCCGATTGGGCCCATTTGTCCATCAGGTGTGTCAAGTACCGGGAGCGGGTGTGTGTGTAACCGAAATGTCACATTTGTCAAGGTTAGTAATTTCTACTTGAACCAAACCAGGTGACTTTTGAATTTCTGGTCATCAGAGGCAAGGTTTGGGCACAATGCAATACAACGTTGATAAAATCCATTTTGAATCCTCTTGCTTAATATTTGAATCTTTGCTTTTTAGGTCAAAAATAGTTTCAAGTTGTTTGATGTTAACAACTATGAAATTGAAGTTTCTTAGCTTCAGCTAATATGCTACTCTTCATGGTTGTTTTTACAGGGAGAGATGGGCTATCCTGGACCAAGGGGACCCATGGGATTTCCAGGAGAGAGAGGCCCGGAAGGTGCCAGAGGAGGCGCAGGGGTCAAAGTTAGTTTAGTTGAATGTTGCAACAATTATGTTGATTTTTTTCTGAGAGCCATAATATGATCGTTGTTTCAATTCTATTTAATTGGTTTCGAGAGAACTGTAAAGTTCTAAAACGTCAATAATATTTGAACAGTTAAATCTTGGTTTTTTTGAGGCTGTCTAGTCACATACGACTTATTGTTCCGATCAGCGCAGGTTCCAATCCATTGTCGAGAAAGTGAGAAACGCGGTCTTAAACTTTTGTTTTCATCCCAATTTTTGCGAGAGGTGATAAAATTGGGAATCATTGCTTAGGGTGTCAGGTGGCTCAACTAAAATTTGTATCTGAAAAGAAGTTGATTTTTATTGCAAAGATGTCTGAGATCCAAAATTCGGTTCTATTTGCTCGGCAATTGGTGATGTTTGTCTTGTTCATAGTCTGATTTTCCATACTTATTTAATTGCAAGAGTATAAATCGGTTACTTAGGTGATATTGTTCCAATCACCTTTGAAGGGGTGAATTGAACAAACTGTGGTGTTTGGGCTGGCTGCGTGGATCTATAAATGGTTGCCTTGAGATATAATGAATGCAATTGGTTGTTTCAGGGTCACAAAGGCGGAAAAGGAGATCTTGGACCAAAAGGATATCGCGTGAGTTTCATCGTGAAAATTAAAGGATTGATTGTTAGGTTCTTCTGCAAAAAGTTACAACCAAACTTGGTTTGTCAAAATCAATTAAATCATTTTTTGCTCGAATTGATTCTTACCTATTGTAATTTTTTGGTTGCTACTTATCAGTTTGGCTTCATCAGCAGCAAGTACAAGATGTCAATTCTCGTAATTCAAAATTATTCCAGGGCATGACAGGAAAAGAGGGAACTCCGGGACCTAGAGGATATCCAGGGCTTCCGGGATCCAGGGGTGCCAAAGGTGACAATGGTGTGACAGGATGTCCAGGAACCAAAGGAGATCGAGGCATTCCTGGAATGTCAAGTACTGCCTTCAGTATCCCTGGACCACAGGGACCCATCGGACCGAAAGGTGAACCGGGACAAAGTCTTGGATCCTGCGGATCTCTGAAAGGGGAAAAGGGGCTTCAAGGAGTTCCAGGAATTCCAGTAAGTGACTATTGCTAATCGTTTGACCTGTTATATAGATGATCTTAGCACAACGTTTTCTATAATTTGTTGTGTGATTAAATGATAAACTGTCTGTGTTTAGGGAGCTCCAGGGTTCCAGGGACTGCGAGGCATCGACGGACTTCCCGGACTGCCTGGTCAGATGGTATGAAATTGGATCAATATGAATTTTCAAATATTTATTTTTAAAAATAAAATATGATCATTGTAGTCTACTATCTTTCTCATCATGTTTACTTTAGTAATTAAAACACGTCATGATTCAGGAAAGCACTTCTTGGTCATGATTTTCCGGATGATTTTGTAAAGTACAAAATATTGCCTCATAACTTGAGTTATTGCACGAGGAAAATGGCGAGATTATAACTTTTAGCCGAAAGTTATGAGCATTATTTCCTCAGTACTGTTTTATTTTGACGATTTTGTCTAGGGCATGAAGGGGGACAGGGGAAGTGTTGGATTCCCTGGACAGAAGGGCATGTCAATTGTGGGTACCAAAGGAGACAAGGTCAGTAACAGTTCACATAAGCTCAGTTCACACTATATTAGCTTAGCTTTTTTTAGGAATCATTTATGATTACACAAGCAGGCTAGCGAGCGTAGTATCATATGACTAAATTCACTTTTTACAATGCATTTTGCAAATAAAACGGCTCATTTGGTTGCTTTTTATGCTGGCATAGCTGTGACAAAAATAGCATCTTTTGTATCTGCTGTATTGGTCGCTTATGTTAGACGATCGTCAAGCGACCATGGCTCAGATGCGAAGACGCGAGACTCTTAATCTCCAGGTCGATGGTTTGATGATTCCGGCAGAGGCGAATTTAAGCCCCTCACTACCCAAAGAGTCCCCATTTTTCCCTTTTGTACTATATTATGACATCCATTTTGTGCCCACCAACCCGAAAATTAAACGTGCTCCCGAGGAAAGAGCACGTTTGAGTGATTTTGAAGGAAAGAGCCAAAAAAACATCTGTGGGTTAAAAATTCCAAAAAGAGCTCCAAACACATCTATTTGGCCTGTTTGATCAAAAATTGGGTCTGAAGAACGTTTTTGGACAGCTCTAATAAATCAATTTCCTCAACTTAATGGAAGATCGAAAACATTTTCTTTAGCTCCACCCTTAGTTTTGAACGCGTTGATGTAATATCTTGAAGTTAAGACGCTTTTGCTTTTTCCCCACTTTAAATTTCAATTTTGAAAAACAACTTAAACCTTGTCAAAATGCAATGGCATGGTGAATAATGTCATAAACTTGGTATGATGAACAAAACAACAATTGTGAACAGATTTGGCCTTCTTCAAGTAACTTACATCGTGATATCACGCATTTAGCCATTATAACAAGTAAAAGCAACTATGAAAATGAAAAATTTGAAATATGGGGTGGGGTGAAAAAGAGCCGAAATATCTATAAAATGATTGAGTAAAATCAAATTATTTAGTTTTTTTTCTGTTGCATTTAGTCACAAATTGTAATCACTTAGTTTGGCTCTTATCATGCTGAAAGTTTTCTTGATTAATAAAGGAAAATCAGAAACAAACCACTGGATTTTGTTGCTAATTTTTTGAGAAAACCTAAAAATATCGTTCAAATCGAAGTCGCAACTTTCTGTGGAGAAAATATTAATATCATGTTATAATCCTATAAACTTGAATGCTTTGATTCTTTGTTGTTTTCTGGTAAATGAAAAATTGATTGATATTTGTCTTCTATAATATTGCAATATCGAGGCTTCTCTTTTTTCTATCTACTGTCTTCGGAAGGTGATTATTGTTCAGACCAATAAAAATGGAGAGGAACTTTATATTCGGGTGTTTTAGTTTTTGACGTTTGTTTTTTCTTTCTACGCAAAATCAGGCACCACAAATTATCATCGGAATGGGTCGACTAGTATATCATGCTAAAGCCCTTTTAGTCGTGATTCGAACGACTTTAAAAAGATTCAAACAGTTGTCCGAGTGTCGACAAAAACTGGTTTGAAATTTCCGAATTTTGTTCAATGTCGAGCGGATAAAAGGAATGCGCAGGCAATAGAAGGGTAGGCCGTGAAACTTTATTTTTACTCCAGTCGATTTTTTCAGCGCCAATTATTAACTTCAAAAAATCAAAAAAGTGTCTGGAATTAAATTGAAAAAGTTTAAGAATGTTTTATTGATTTTTAAATATCTTTGTTTTGTTTTTCTAATCATTTTTCTGTTCTCCAATTTGCATATTTTACTATGGCTGTCGAATAGGCCTAAGTTCTGGGCTTTCACTCAGTTCCTTTTTATCACACCACGCACAGAAACCGACACTAGTTTGAGAAAAATTTTTGATGTAGTTTTTTTTAAGACTATGGTCAGAACATTCTCTCCTACTTGCCCAGCAACCGGGTCTTTTTACTTATTCCGCCCAAACTTCATAATTTTGTAATATTCAATGTATAAATGCTGAGACAAAATACTCATAGCACTGATTGATTTGCTTAATACTAATGCGATCACTTTATTTTTCAGCCGACTTCTAACAAGGCCGAATTTTGAGCAGATACGAAAGTGGTCAACTTCTTCCCTGGATCTGTTTTCTGTGTTTCTAACCTTGTTAAAACTCTGGAGCGTATTTTGAATTATTTTTGAGTTATTTACCAAGCATTCTTCATTTTAGGTCAATTCGGCTTATTTTTTTCGACTTAACTTGTGAACAAAACATTTTGAGATGATATTGAAATTTGATTGGCTAATTCTAGCCAATCAGATTGAAGCAAAATAATTTCAGTTCAAGATATTGAAATATTGAGCTTTATGCGGAATAATTAAAAAGACCTCAGTAACCGTCTATCCTTTTTCTCTTATCATTTCAAATTTTCATGACATTTTACGCAACCCATGATTTGGTTGCTTTGTGCCTCCAAGGTGCTACAATTTTCAGTTCGCGATAAAATTCTTTTTCCATCGACAGTTTTTTTGGTGCTACCAGTGTTTTTGATTAGGTACAATGTTGATTTAAGTTAAGTTTTATTCTCTTTAATATAAGAAATGCGAGCCCTATAATTGCTTCAAGGCAGAAAATGATCTTACACAAGTTGTTTTATTTTTCACTTGGTCACTTGTGCAACTGAAAAGAGCTCGTGCGAATATATTGATTTGTGATTTAGCAGTTATATGCCTTGGAGTATTTTGTTGCTCACAAAAACGCATTCAAACATGTAGTATACTTAAAATTTCCACGTCAATACAACAAGAAATAGAAAAGCAATTCCACGGCTGACAATCAATTGAATAGTTGAATGAAATCTTATTACATGCTCGAATTCAGTTCTTTCTGAGCACATAAATAAACATTCCCGTTAGGATTTGATATAACCGTTAGGCTAGGTATTGATAAAGTTGGATACATAATACTAAACAGGTCTACTGCCCAAATTGACCTTAATGGAATTCGAACATGAAATCATGCAGTAGTTAATGAAATGCTTTAATTCAAGTCAGTGGGGTTGCGCATGTAATTTTCGAGAAGGGGGTGGTGTATTGGAAAATTCGGGGGGGGGGGGGGGGGGGGGGATTTTTTGTCGAAAAAGGGGGCAATTTTTGGAAGGTTTTGACCAATATAGACCAACTTTAGTGTTGATCGAAGGAAAATTGATGTCGTAAATTAGTACCCAAGAGCCCTTTGGAAAAAATTGGCTATCAGAATTTAGGCCGGTAGTTTTGCAAGTTTTCTCGAAATGAGATAATAATATTGCTTTGGGAGAGTTCGCTGAGGTGTGGAAACAAGGCTCTTATCTACGATTTTCCCTAACCACCCACTCTCCTCGAGAAAATTCTAGATCCTCCCCTGGTGTCTGTCAGCACTTCACAATTTTGATTACATTAAACGAAGATTTGTTTCCCGAAAAAAAATATTGCATCAGTTCGGTTTTCGATTTAAGCTACAGTCGACAAAGAGGTTAAACTGAAGTAAATTAGTGTTAGTTTAAACTCTTCTTGCAGAATGGCCTCGACATTTCGGTCCTAGAAAACTGTCCACTTGAAATTAAAATCTTTATCTTCTTTGCCATATTGAATCATATTTTTATTGCCCATTTTAGTGTTTAAGGTTAAACAGCGGGAGAATTTCAACAATGATAGACTGAAGTACATTTTAACTGCAAGAATCGTTCGAAAGAAAGAAAAGAAGAAAGAAAGAAATTTTTCAATTTGGTAATTGCACGGAAAGTCTCGAGTCAGGATGAAATTCTGAACGATTTTATAGGCTCTTAAACTCTTGAAAATTACTTTTACTAACATAAAACAGCGATGTGCCTTTTTTCTGCTTAAAGCAGTTTTTTTTTAGAAAAATGGGCCGTTTTTTAGACATTCTTTCTTGAGCTTTAGTTGCATATGTAACTTGCCCTTTTTTAAAAAAGTTCAGGGCTAAATATTAGCGTTATTTTAAATCAATCAAATAGACCCAAAAAACGATACCTCATATTTTAAAAATAGTACGAAAATTGCACCATGTTATCTCTAGAAATTTTTAAGCAATTACTGTCTTCGAAAAAATTAGGTACCACGATTAATAATCGGAATGGGTCGAGTGATATATCATATTAAAGTCTTTTCATTCGTGATTGATTCAAACGACATTAAAAATATAGACCAAAAAATTTTTTTTTATTTTTAGTCTAAATTAAAGCGAGCTTGCATGTAATTTTATTCTAGTTAAGTTAGTTTTTGATTTCTTATTGCCATTTTGAGAATCAAAAGTTCGAAAAAATTTTTCAAAATATTTCGAAAATTATGGATTTTTATTTGATTTTTTGTTTGTTTTTCTAGTCTTTTACTACAAAACTCTGGTCCAATTTAACTGTTTTCTTAGTATGAATGTCGAATATACCTAAATTACAGTTTTTCGTTCAGATCATTTTATCACACCACGCAGAAAAACAAAACTAATTTGAAAAAAAAAAACATTTTTTTTTCGTATTTAGAATATGGTCTGAATATTCTGTGATACTTGCCCAGTAACCGTCTATCCTCGTTTTCTTGTCTTTTGTATTTCCTCACAACTCAGGAAAATTTGATCGGAAAACTTTTTCACGGAAGCTTCTTCGCAATAAAATTTTTCTAAAAAAAATCTTTTCGTAGTGCAAAAAGAAACATTTTTTTGAATTTTTAATTTTTTATAGGTTTTGTTTGTTAGTTTTATTTTACAGACATTTGCTGTCGATTATGCTTAATTTACTGACTTTCCACTCGGCTATAGTTATTTTATCACACCACGCACAAGAAACGACACTAACTTAAAAAACTTTGTAATGCCAAGAAATTTTTCGTAGTTCGTTATGTGTATGGTTGGAACATTCTGACATTCTGTGCTACTTGCACAGCAACCTGCTATCCTTGTTCTGTCGCCTGTTGACAAAATTTTCAATTTAGTTTAAATTTTCTTGTTTTTTTTGTCCGGATACTATTTATCAGCACTACAAATTGGTGTAGCCAAACAAAAAGAGTGAAATGAAAGTTGTGACTGAGTGGGTAAGGTACTTATCTCTCAACATGAAGGTGGTCTGTTTGTAAAGCTGTAAAAGCCAAAATAAAATTGCACAGTTGTTAAAATGAAAACTCTTGGTCGGCAGATCTGAGTTCGAATCTCGTAATATTAGAAGTCTTGGTATTTTGAAGTTGTTTTTCTTTCAAGGCATTTTCTAACTTTTCTGGCATTTTTACCGTTTTTGAGTGCTCTTTTTGCCGTTTTCCGTTTGTGTTCGCAAAGTTTCGCGACACCTTTGTGTAACAAGGACCATAGGTGACAGGCTTACCTGTCCTAGATGTAGAAGAGTTAAGATCTAATTATCATAACCTTTAACACAGATTGTTTTTACCTTTGCTTCTATCAAGGGTATAGTAATCGGGCACTAGGCTTTGCTAACAACTCGGCAAAAAAAGTTTAGAGTTTTCAGAGTTTCGGCTCGATTCGAGCTGCATTTTTCTGTTTTCCAGGGCGAGTTTGGACTAGGAGGGGTGCCTGGACGTAACTGTGATGCCACCACATTTCCTATTGGATCAGTTCAGGTCATCAAGGGGGATCCTGGACCGAAGGTGAGTTCCCTTCTCCGACGCTAAGTTGTAGTCAACGCAATTTATTAACTTAGCACTACGTTGACCTTGAAAATATGAGCATTTCTAAAGGATCAACATTTTTTTTGCTAAAGTTTTTGTTATTTGATTGTCGTAATATCATTTATTTCAGAAAGATGTTATAATAATGAAGTAAAAAATAGGTGAATTTTTGTTTTACGGGACTTGATACTGTTGGATGTTTCAGGGTCTGAAGGGAGACATGGGATTTCCGGGAAAACCGGGACTTCCCGGAATGGCGGTAAGTACTGTAATGATATGGTTGTAAGGATCCGGAGTTTTCCATGATTTCTTTTCATTTTTAATCCAATTCTTCATGAAACTCCTTAATTAAAATACCTAACTGTGTTCCTTGAGTTTCAAGCACTTTGCATTTCTAGGGTGTGAATGGTGCACCGGGCTACCCTGGATCAAAAGGCGAAAGAGGACTGATTGGACCTTCCGTAAGTATTAAAGCCTTTTATATATTAAACAAAAATTTACAAATATTTAACAAGATCTAGAACAAAATTCTACAAATAACATTTGCTCTGCAAAAAACTTCAGTATTCGATGTATTTTATAGGGTCTTGATGGAGCACCTGGGCTGCCTGGACCCAAGGGCGACCGTGGATTCTCAGGGCGTCCGGGTACCAACGGCTTGGCTGGTTTTCCCGGTGCCAAGGTAATTCAATTTGAAATCATTTCTAAGTGGACCGAATCAATTGATTTTAGTCGACTTGCTCTTTTATTTCAGGAATTTTCTTTTTCGTCTCAATTTATTAAAATTTTTTACTACAAAATGGTTCAAATGCCTGCATTGATTAGTCTACTGATCGCTTTTGTTTGTGTCTGCGTACAAAGTATTTTGCAAGTCTCTAAAAAATTTTGGAGTATTTGTTTAAGGTATAATTAGTATGCAGATATTGAACGCATTAATGTTTTTCAGGGTCAAAAAGGAGAAACAGGCCCTGCGGGTGTTCGTGGATTTCCAGGGGCTATGGTAATAACCGTCTTTAATATTTACACTCACAATTACCTTTTGTGCTGAGCTCATATAAACCTTAACTGTTTTAACCATCCAGGGTCCTCCTGGAGGAATTGGAAAGCTATCTGTAGTGGGACCCCAGGGTCTCCCTGGACCAATGGGTCCAGTCGGTTTGCCAGGTCGACCAGGACTCCGAGGGTCTGCAGGAACTCCTGGAATGATGGGACCTCCAGGAGCTGCAGGGTTCGATGGTCCTGCTGGAGTTCCGGGAGTGCCAGGAGTGGGTGAAAAGGGAGATAAAGGACTGCCTGGTATGTACATCAAAACTAATACCTAAACAATACAAAGGTAATGAAATAAATAATACACCAATGTGAGTCGCGTTTAACAAGACAGAGGTCGAGGTCTTAAAGGGCAATTCAAATAGGTGTTGTGTTAGCAAGCGTCGTTAAATCTAAAAATTGTATGAAGACGCTCTAGTGCGTTTTTAGCTCATTTTTCATCAGATTCGAGGAATTCTTTCTGTCGCTTACTTTACTTGGTTCTATTTTCATCTTGAATAGTTTAAAATCGTTTTTCATAGGAAAGGAAGATCTACAAAAATATTGATATTTTTTTCTCAGTCTAATACTTCTTAGCATGAATTGTATCGTTGGAATTACGAGCTGCATGGTTTTATGAGTAGGGTAAACGTGGCTTGTTAGTGAGTATTTAATTGTACATGTTTCTAGTTAGGTCCATTGCTTTCCGTGGAACCGTTTTTAAGAGTAATGAACGTAGTGAAGACTCTAATATGGGTCTTGCTGATTTTTTTTTTCAAAAAAAAGTCTTAAAATATTGATGGACTTAGCTATATATGCACTTATTGAGTCCAATTGAAATTCATCTGCTGAAAGTGACGTAAATAGCATTCTCCAAATACGAACGTGGAAATGGCGCGAAAAAACGTGAACGATTTCTAGTTTCGAAAGTGGAATTTATTTTTAAGATTTCCCAGCGGAATAAAAACTTTACCTCTTGGTCCAGTTTTCTCAATTTTGGTTAATTTTATCAAAAAAGCGCCAATCTTAAATTGTTCTAGAAATTCACAGAGCTTAAAGAGTAAATATTTTTTCTTTGAAATTCGAAATTTGCGATTTTTTCAAGAAAGTGTTTTTTTTATTTATGTTTACTTGCGTTCATTTTTCTTTTCCAATCTTCGATTGGCTATGTTCAGTTTTTGTGCCTCTTTTTGCTGGTATTTGACTGGTTTCTTACAACTGATTGGGACTGGTAAGGTGAAAAAATACCAAAGGTATTTTTTTCAGCATTAAACCAAGAATGTTTCGCTTGGCGAAGTTGATTTCGCTTGGCGAAATGGTTCTCTGCTTATTTTCGCTTGGCGAAATGGTTCTCTGCGTCGTATGTTTTTTACTGATCTATTATCAGCTAGAATTGTTCGCGAAAGTCTATTTATCAACGATGGATGTAACCGAAAATGCAGATATGCATTTGTGAAAAAGTTGGGAAATTTTCTTGTTCCGACCATTGAAAATGTGGAGGAAGTTTGGATTCGGGTGTTTTAGTTTTTTTGCTCGCAAAATCAGCTACCACAAAAAATCATCGGACAGGGCTAATTGATATATCATATTGAAGCCTTTTCAGTCGTGATTCGAACGACCTGAAAAAATTTCAAAAAAGAAAAATTTTCTCGAAGTCGAGAAAAATCAGTTTGAAGTTTTTGATTTTTCGAGTCCAATTTCGAGCTAATTAGTAAGATAATTAGTAATTGCAATAGCGTATTTAAGCTTAATTTAAGCCGCGAAAACTTAGTTTTACTCAGGTTAAGGTAGTTTTTGAAGTTTTTTAGTGCAATTTTGTGAATCAAAAACTTGAAAATTCAAAACGTTTTAAAATTCTCTAGTACGTCAGAGAAGGTCTCATATTCGGGTCAACTAAACGATTTTTTATAATAAGGCAATTTTTCAAATAATAGTATACCGTGAATTTTCACCCGGTTATTTAAAAAACTCTTATTAAACGAAACTAAGTGTTCCAAAAAAAAAATCGATCAAAGCTCAGTAGAAACATGTTTGGACGAAACAATTAAGCTAAACAAAAAACTGTAAAAAAGCTATCGACATCAACCGAGTGTTTATAGATGTGATTATAAAAATGTCTTATATTTCACTTAAATGGCTGTTTCCAACATCAGACGTGATTTTTTGGTTTTAATCGACTAAATTGGGGAGGAAATTTAAAATCGGATGTTGAAGTTTTTTTATTATCTTAGCGATAAGCCAGGATTTAGCCAGAATTTATTGCAACAGATATATTTTGAGAACATTAGTATTTAAAATATACGGCTAATCGAAGTTTGCTTGTAAAATTACCAACTCGATTTTTTAAAATTTCGTTTTTTTTCCATTTTTTTTCGAAAACTTTTTTCTATCGGCGTAGTAGGTTTTGGCTTATTTTATTTCATTTTTGTGGCCTGTCATTGCGTCCTTTGATGACCGAAAAGTATTCTTGTGTAGGTGTGATTTTAGAGAAAGGAGGACTTCAAATTTTTTTTAGCTTAGATTTTTTTTTCGAATTTTTTGTTTGTTTATTTTTATCGGTTTGCTTCCCGTAACCAGACTTTTTTTGAAGGTTCAGTGTAATTCCAAGCTTATGTAACACCCATGCTGGAAACGACAAAGCCCGGGAGATCGATTCCGACCTGTTTTTTTGTTTAGATTATGGTCTGTCTGCTTAATTTGTCGTCTAAGTTCCACAGAAAGGACTTTTTAAAATTATCTTGCTTATTGCTAGCATTCTGAAAGATCCTAGTAATCTTTCTTATTTTACACGTATTTTTGTTCTGGACGTTTTGCACTTTTGCTACCAATTTTACAATTTTATTGACAAAAACGATTTTTGAAGGTTTTTTTTTCATTTTTTCTAAATTTTTTCAAGTTTGATATATATCACATGCATTCATTCTTGCATCACATGTGGTGCGAACTCAGCTTTGTTTTTGTGTTTTTGCTCCGCCTAAACTAACGTACCGCAGATAATTATTAGAAAGGGTCCAGTGATATATCATATTAAAGCACTTTCAGTCGTGATGCGAACATCAAAAATATACGAAAACTTATCTCAGTGTTGAAATTATTGGTTTGAAATTTTTGATTCTTATACTTATTTCGAGCGAGTGAGGTGAGTTTCAGGAAAACTAGTTTCAGAAGCTTCATTTAACGTTTACTGAACAGAAAAATTTTCTGAATTTTTTTTGTTTCTTGTTATTATTTTTTCCAAGAAAACTTGCAATTATGCCTAATCTTTTCATTGTTTTAGCTTTCGTCTAGTTCTCGTCAGAGCACGCACAAAAAAACAACGCAAATACGCTTTAAAATATTTTTTCACTTTTTATCAATGTGGTCGGAACGTTAGGGGCTACTTGCGCAACAACTGGCTATCCTGTTTCTAATATCGTTTTTGGCTAAATTATTATCTGGGAAGAGTGTAATGATTAAGTATTGAGTTTGTTGCTTTTCAGTTTATTGCCTGTTTGAATATTTCTTTTTAGACTTGTGGATATAAAGATTATTTTCTTTGACGCATCTATGAGCTTGAAAGAATATATAATACAATGGACTAAAATAGCTCTGACTTCATAGTTTGCTAGTGCAAAATCCAAGCAGCTAAAGTCTAAACAGTGCTGTCATTGTCTATTCTTAGTTCCCCCTTGGTAACACGAAAAGCGAGTGCATTGTTAGTCAGTCACACTGTGTTTCTGAATTGAAAATACATGAAAACTGCTGAACTCTTATACAACCTGAACAAAATGTAAAAATCATGCTTTAGCTGGTTATTTTCGATGGTCTAAATTGTCTTAAGGCAATATCCGAATGCTAAAGTTTTTCTATTCTGAGCAAAAAATGCTTTCCCATTTTTGTCATACCAACAAATTAGACCCTTCTTAGCTAGTATAAATATTTAGTATCAGAGATTTAGCATATCTTGGCCTTGCAGGATGATAATAGTTAGGAACTCGAATCTGAAAATGCCGCCATAAAACTACAGAAGTGGATTATCCAAATTCGTGCATTAATGATTGCACTTAGGTAGTTATGAACTTTTCGAATTTAATTCAAGTTCATTTGCTAAGAGGTAGGCAAATCGCGTTCTCCGATTACGAAAGCAGAAAACGCGCAAAAAAACGTGATCATTTTGTAGTTTTGAAAATGGATTTAAGTTTTCAGATTTCCCAGGGGACTAAACATTTAACTTATTGAGCCAGTTGTTTCAAAATGAGTTTATTTTATTAAAAAATTGTCTATCATAACTTGATTTTGAAATTCAAAGGCAAAATCTTTTCTTACTTTGAAATTCGAAAGATGACGTTTTGCCTAAAAACAAGTCAGTTTGTTTTCTGTTTCCTTGCGTGAGTTGACTTTTTTCCAACTGTCTGTTTGCCATGTTAAATTACTCTCGGGAAAATGTGATTGCTTTCTGACGCTTCATAGGAATCCCTGGACCTCGAGGTCTTGCCGGTGCAGCTGGATTGCCAGGAAGACTGGGTCCAAAAGGACTGAAGGGTGAAAGAGGAGAGACCATAATGGGTCCCAGAGGCCTCCCTGGAAACCCCGGACTTCCTGGATACCAGGGAACTATGGGTACAAAGGGAGACAGAGGCGTTCCAGGTGAGCTATTTTTTACCGTTTTAAAAGTGGACAAGTCTTTATATTTCCTTGCGATTTAACAAGCTAGTAATTTGCACCTCTTTGAAGTAAAAGGTAATTAAAACGTGATTTTTCAGGAGTTCCCGGGTTACCAGGAAACCAAGCGTCTTCCAGAGGAGCTCCAGGCATGCCTGGACTTCCTGGAAACCCTGGAGATTTGGGAGCTCCGGGTATCCAGGGTCCAAGAGGATACCCGGGTCTCATAGGTGAGAATCGCTACTGTTTCATTTATGCTGGAAGTCATTACTTTGATCACAATTGAACCTTGCAACCAGGAGGAGTTCTATAGCACATGTGTTGTATAGGTCCCAAAGGAGACAGCTGCAACAGATGTCAGACATACGACTGCCCTGGACCGAAAGGGGACCCGGGTATGCCTGGCATGATGGGCCTGAAAGGAGAGAGGGGTCTTCCTGGACTCCAGGGACCTGCTGGAATGCCTGGGCCAACTGGGTTGCGGGGACTTCCGGGATTCGCGGGAGCTCCTGTGCGTGAGCTTTTTCTTGATTTTACTCATTTCATGTGCTATTGAACGAACTCGAGGCTCACTTATCATCAAAGTGACATACTTTTCTTCAAATAGTGTCAAAATTTGTTCACGCTTATTTTTATCTTGCAGCAAAAAATGGAGCTTGGCTTGTAATTTCAAATGTGGATTTAAATTTTTATAAACTCCAGGAGAATGAAAAGTTTTACCTTGTGACCCAGTTTTCTCAAATTGGTTTTGTTTTTTGTTTAATTTTTTATTTCAAATTGGTTTAGTTCGTTATTTCCTGAAAGATCTTTTCTTACAAATACTGCAGACATGCTCAATTCGGACATGCTCAAAGGCTGGCATGCTCAATTTCTGTGAAATTTAAAAAATCTACTTTTTAGTTCATATGGGGTAGTTATTATTATTTTTTTCAATTATAATAATTTAAAAATTGTTGATTTTTTTTCGTATTTGTTGTTTTCGTCCTAATTTTGTTCGCTGATTTTCCGTTTTTAAAGCAATTTTTATTATTGATAGGCTTTTCAAGCGGTTCTTTTTTACACTAGCGTCATCTTAGTGTAATTTTAAGAACCTTCTTTTTTTCTAACCCAAGTCGGAAATATTGTTGCCACTCGTGGGGCACCTTTACAGCTTTTTGATAGCATGTGCTTTGACATTCGATTAACATTTTTAATTCATCAAATGAACCGAAAAAAAGCTGTTTAATTTAAACAACATAACAATAATAAAAACTCGATTTCAGACATTTTCTAACTCAATATATCTCGAAATGTTTCTAAAAGCTTAATTTATATAAAATGTGGCGTTGTGCTTTCGAGTTTTTACATGCAAATTTAGTGTGGATGATTCAGTTGGTTATATTCCAAATTATTACTTGCAAATTTTATCTGTTTGTGTTTGGTGCCACTTTTGTTGAATCGTATTGGCAGTTTATTAGCATATGTAGCTGCTTTATGGGGGCTAGGAAATTAGACGACAAGCAAATTAGATGGCTCCAATAGAACGGAGTTTAGATGTTATTTTCTTAAACTAGTATTGTGGACGAAAAGCTAAAGGGTAAGAAAATTTATTGCTTGAGACATAATTGACTTATAAAATTTTCATCCAAACATTATAAAACATTTTTGAAATGCATAAATTTTACAATTGGGAATGGGCTATTTATTGGCATATGTAGCTGCTTTATTCATGACTAGTTTTTGTCGGTGGTTAAGCGTGCGGGGCTGAGTGGCTCTTGATTGCAGTAGGTCGCAGGTCGAATCCTAGACCTAGCCTAATTTTTGCTAATTCGAGGCCTATTTCTATTTTTTCTCATTACACTTTCTAGAGCTGCTTTTTGTCGTGTTTGCGAAGCGATGCTCCGCCACTGTGTCAAAGCAGGGGTTTTCAAATTTTTTAATCAAACAGTTTTTACTATAATTGAAAACTGCTCTGTTGCTTGTAAATTTACAATCTCTGACTTTTAATTTTTTTTCGGTTAAATGAGTTTGACTTATGTTATATCGGCTCAGTCATTTTATAATGCGCAGTTTCAAGAGCGAATTGTTTTAAATGCTTTTGGTTTTGTCAAGAGGGATGCGTCGTGAAACATCTACTTAAAAATTTAAGGCTCGATTATTTATTATATCTCTAGTTTCGTTTTCGGCTTAACGAGGGTTGACCCAAATTTTGTGCCTTAGTTGCAGGTTTGTCATTGATTTTCATTGCTTGCTGAGGTTTTTTATGAACATCGTCTGAGACAAAACCATGAAGTTTTTATAGAAAGTTTTTTGGCCTTTTTTAAGTTTTTTTACTCTGCTTAATTTTTTTTCGAATTTATTTATTTTTCCTTCTTTAGTTCTTTTCAATATCTTGTAGTGCAATATTTAGATGTATCGCAGGTGTTGCGATGTTCCACTTCGCTTCTTTGTAAAAAATCATAAAAGATGCTTAAAGAGTTTCAAGTGATGAAATCTTTTTTGTATGAATCTCAAAACTTGATAACTTTACAACTGTCTGATGGATATGAAAGTTCTGCTCAGAAACTGCTCTGCTCTCGAGACCGACTGACAGATGTAAATAATTTTAAACAATGCTAGAAAAGCAGATAAAAGTTTTTTGTTTTGTTATTGTGTGCCGGCCACTCGAAAACTGGAAAGGAACTTTGTATTCGGGTTGTTTTTTTTTCTGTCAATTTTGGCTACCTCAAGGAAATCTCGTAATGGGTCAAGTTTTGTATCATATAAAAGCCATTTGGCTGTGATTATGTTTGTTAAAAAATCCGAAAAAAGTCTCTTAGGGCTGAGAAAACTGGTTTTTCAGGGCTGAGAAAACTTAGGGCTGAGAACGAAGGAATTTTCACTTATCTAGGTTTTGATTAATTTCTTATTTATCACGTTTGTTTTTAAATTACTCAAGTCAAAATTTTTTCATTCTTTTTCTCTTTAATTTTCTGAATGTTTTTCTAGAGCTATATTTTTTCAAGATTTTTTTGAACAAAAAACGATTCTGAAAAAATTTGCATTTAGCCTAATTTATGCTGAAACGTTTTTCTGTTTTTTTTCCCTTTTTTCTGGTTTAAATTTCAAGAGTAAAGATTTTGACTTAAATAGTTTTTAATGATTTTTGTTCCAGAGAAAGTCCGAAAAATTGTTGGCAATCAAATTTGATTTTTTTGCGGTTTTATTTATGATTTTCAACTATTTTTCAACCTTGTACTTTTACACTTTTCCATTTTTCTGTTGGCTTTGTTTTTCCCTTTTTTAAAACTTTTTATGGTGAATTATAAGGTTGAAAAAGCATATTTAAATCTGTCAGTATACAATTTTAAGAGTCAATGAACGTAGTGAAGATTTTTATAGGTATTGATGATTTTTTATTTTGTTTTTTTTTTCACGAAAATTTTTAAAAATTTGTTCACGCTCAAATTTGATTTTTTTTGCGATTTGATTTTTGATTTCTTTTTAGTTTCAGTTGGTTTCCTTCGTTTTAAAAGGAAGGCAAAATCCATTTTTGAAAAGTAACTGTGTAAATGTCACGAAAAACGAGATGGATTTCTAGTATCGAAAGTGGATTTCAGATTCCCCGGCGGAATAATTTTTTTTAAATTAAACTTGGGTTATTGTTTTATCAAAACTAACCTCAATTTAATTGTTTTTTAAATTCCAAGTGCAAATAGTTTTCAATTCGAAGTGCAAAGTGCTTTAGTTTGAAAATCGAAAATCAGTATTTTTTCTGTTTCCTTGCGTTCATTGACTCTTTTCCAATTGTTTGCTGGTTATGTTTTTGAAAAAAATTTAAAATTAATAAATTTTATTTTTTGTTGTTTTTGCTATGATGTGGCGAACTGCCGGCTCTTAAAAAAAGATATTTTCAATATGTTGTCCCAGTGTCGATTGAAGCTGGTCTGAATGTTTTTGCTATTCAGACTAATTTGCCGATTTAAAGACCAATCAGAGAAGGGCGTGGATGTTGGTCTCTCCTATTTTAAGGCTAATTAGCTTATTTTGAAGCTGCATGTCACTCGTTACTCATGAAAAATAATCGAGAAGTTAACACCAAAAATATTTGATTTTTTTTCTTCAAAAAACAGATACTGATTACGATTGTTTCATTTTTGCATCGGCGTTCTAATCGCAGGGCTTTCCCGGAGACAGTGGACCAGTGGGTGTGCCTGGATCGAAGGGAATCAAGGGTGAGACGATGTATCTGCCAGGGTACCAGGGGATCAAAGGAGACATGGGGTTTCCTGGAGTCAAGGGTCCGCTGGGGCCTCCAGGTCTGACAGGGGTGAAGGGGGAGAGAGGCTACCCTGGGGGATCAGGTCTAAAGGTAAATCTTAATTACTCAGTAGTGTCCCAAACATGAAGTAAATTACAAATACAGCTCTGTTTTCATATTTGGAAGGTTGCTTTTCTCATATCCTTGTTCCTGAAAAACATAGTGAGTAAGACAACCGTTGCAACATCTAAGGTGAACTGCCTTGACTGAATACTTCAGGAATTACCAGCTGAGGATTTTTCAGTGTCAATTATTCCAGGAATTTCATAATTTTCGCTTTGATTTTAGGTAACACGCTAAAAAATAATAGTCACCACATGGATTGCTCAGAAACTTTTTGAATTTTGCTCTTATTGAATGGCAAAAGAGATGATAATTTGATCTGATGATAATTAAATATTCATCCTCTCACTTATGCTAAATGACATCTTTTAGGATTCTGATTGTAGCTTAAAACTAACAATTCCTATAAGACGGTATTTATGTGATTTTTCTCGAAATTAAAATATGAAGCGTTATGTCAAATGAGCATCTGAGAACCAGTAAAAAACATCATCATGAATTTTTTTAAACCGTCTCGGATGTCATTGTTTTTTAAGGCTCGTTTGTTTCCCAGGGTGAAAAAGGAAACCAAGGTAACGATGGTAGAACTGGGTTAATGGGACCCCCTGGACCAAGAGGGTTCCCGGGAGAGAAGGGTAACCCTGCAGTCGGAATGCCAGGCCAGACTGGACCCAGGGGACTGAAGGGTGACAGGGGAATAGTTGGATTGCCCGGTCAACGGGGTTAGTTAGAGCGCGAACAAAGGATTGATCAAATGGGACAATTTCAAAAGTCGACCGCATCCCATTTATTATCACTAACTTGCTTGTTGTTTAATAATAATAATATAATAAAATGTTTTCATGCAGAAAAACACTAAATGACACTTAAATAAATTTACAACTGCTTGAGGGATCACAATCGAATCTACAGATCCGTTTTCAGGTGTTTCTGAGCGGAAAAGTTTGTCACTATTTTATCTACTTGAGTTGAGAACAATGTCTCATTATTCCTTTTTCAAGCGTTACATTAAAAATCAAGCAATTTGGTTACGAATCGTTTTCGTCTTGAAAAACTATAACTCACTTCGTTCTTTACACAAGCAAAACTTGTGTGATAGCATGAACTCTCTTTTTTCTTACTCCTAAAATTTTGAATATTTTTCTGCAGAGTTATATTTTTTCAACAGTTTTTTTGAACAAAAACGATTCTTAAAAATAATGCATCTATCTTGATTTATACTGAAACGCTTGAAATAGTGTTTTTTGTTTAAATTTTTTGAGTAAAAGAACGAAGTGATTTTGACTTAATTGATTCTAGATGACTTTTTTCAGAAAAAAAGTTTGAAATTTGTTCACGCTTACGTTTTTTCTCGGTATTACTTATAGTTTTTTTAATTTCAGTTCATTTCTTTGTTAAAAAGACGAAAAACTCTTCTATCGTACAGCGAAAAGGTATGGAGCACGAAAAATGTGATCGACTTCTAGCTTAAAAAGTAAACGCTAATCTTCTGAACTCACTGCGGAAATGAAACAATACCTATTGATCCAGTTTTCTCTGAATGGGAAAATTCCTTAAAAAAATTGATATCATGTCAATCATAAAAAGTATTTGAAATCAAAGATTTTCAACGTGTTATTTTTTTCTTTGAAATTCTGTAGTTGAAAGTTGTTCAAAAGTTTTCAATAAACTTCTGTTGGCTTCGTTTTATCAAAAAACACAGGGTCACAAGAAAGAAACAATATCGAAAGCGACGATTGTTTGTCTTGGTTCGTTTAGGTGCCAAGGGTGAATCGTACATGGGATCCATCAACCCTGTGGTAGTCAAGGGGAATCCAGGGCCTGTGGGAGTTCCAGGAGCTCCAGGCATGCCGGGTGACAGAGGTATCACTCGTTCTATTTACACTAGTAATACTCCGAAAGAAGCGAAAACAAAAATAGATTCAAAAGTTCTCTTCGAAATTACTTCGAAATTTGACTTCATTGAAGAAAACGTTTTTTAGTGAAAAATTTTTTTTTAAGCTGAAAAATCAATGTTAAGTCCCAATATTTGTTTTCAGACCATTGCTGATAAATTTAAACTGTGCCAAATATTGGTTTAAATGGATTGTGGAAATTCCATTTAGGAAATTTTAGCTTGGTTCGAATATATCTTTTTTTTGTGTCATGGGTCTACAGAAGCAACACCAAAAAGCTACATTTTTCGTATCTAGGACTGAAGGGCTCGCGAGGCGCTGTGTGTCCAGTCGGAATATCTGGTCAGAAAGGAGACAGGGGGATGGACGCCGCAGGAATAGCTGGACTCCCAGGGGCCAAGGGAGACCGTGGTTTCACTGGACCTGCGGGTCAACCAGGTTCACCGGGGTGGAAGGGAGAGAGGGGAATACCTGGATTGCCTGGAACTGTCGGGCCTATGGGACCTAAAGTAAGTAGCCGAATCGGTTCAAAGAACTGATATCGATTTAAATCTTGGTCGTGTAATCAAAAAGGCGTTTATTTAATTTAGGGTGACACACCATTTGGTCTAACTGGTCCAAGGGGGTACCCCGGGGTCAAAGGGTCTCGTGGAGACTCTGGATCCCCGGGACCCCAAGGATATCCTGGTGCAATGGGATCACAGGGATCCAAAGGAGTTGGTGGACCAGTAGGTCGTACAGGAACTGTTGGCTTGCCTGGACTCAGGGGAATCAAAGGAGAATCCGGATATGCGATGCAGGGTGCAAAGGGTGAACCGGGTCTGATGGGAACTCCCGGTCCAATGGGTTAGTACCTCCTAGAAACTTCACTTAGTGTCACGTATTTAGGTCGAGATATTTTTTTTCTTTTTAAAGGAAAATCCAATTCAATTGAAATTCTTTTTCTAAAAGAGGCAAATTACGCTCTGTAATTAATAATTAAGAATGCAAAAATGGTTCAAAAAACGTGAATGACTAAGGTTCGAAAGTAGATTTGAATTAATTGATTTCTCAGTGAAAAAAAAAGATAATAAAGTTTAAGGAGCATCAATGTTAATAACCTTGCGATAAGCTAGAGTATTGCAATCGGGTACTAGACTATTCTTCCCGTAAATAATTGTAGGCACAGAATGGTCAAATGTATAAGAATGGTAAATTTCAGACGTTTTCAATTTCTTGAAAATTCAAATAAAACTACCTTGACTTAGGTAGTAAACAGGTGTAGTCCGTTCCGTTGTTAGTTTTTTTTTCAAATAATTTTCTTGAAAAAATGTTTTTGTCGATTAATTTCCCGTTTTTTAAAATGAAGTCAGTTTTTTTTGGTTGTTTTTTCTGTTTTTTTTTGTTAAGCTTGGATTGCATTTTGATTTTGAAATTGATGTTGAAAGTTTATTTTGTCATTTACCAAGTCTGATTTTAATTAATTTTATTTATGTATATATTTTTTATATATAATTCGATTAAACGGTTTCGGTTTGTTTTATGGCATAATGAACTTATTTGCGTTGTTTCGAAGGCTTAAATTCCTGTTCGACCAAATAAGGTATTATTACACTTGCGAGAGAGCAAGACTTTTCCAGTAATTAACTTTTCGTACACGTTTTAACTTTTCTTCAACTTGCTTTTATTAATGAACCTTCATTACCTCTAGGTTTCTTCCCACTTGGCCTAGATTTAACGCTGTCGCCCTTGTATTCGAAGGTCGGGGGTTCAATTCTCGGCCAGACTTTGTTTTTTCAGTATTTATGCAACAATTGAAAAAAATTCGGCAAAAATTGAATTGTTGGACTTCCTTTATTCTTCTAAAGGTTTGTCAGCTTAGTTGCCTCATCACACATCTTGTTTTTCCTGTGAGAAACTTTCTTTGCAAGTTAAATTGTTGTTCTTTGTGGGTTCAGGGAGTTGGACTTGAATTTTTTTAAAAAAATTTTGAATCATTTTTTTTTCGGCGCAACAGGTGTCTGCTCAAAGATTGTCGGCTTAGTTGACACATCACGGATTTTTCTATTGTTGTGCTGTAGGCAACTTTCCTTATTTCCTTGTAGTTGAAAATGCAAATGTTGAAATGCAAGTGTTCTTCACTCTAGTGTCCGGTGGGGCTGAGAACTGTAAAGATTTTATATGAAATCTTTTTTTTCTGCACAACATGTGTCTGTTCAGAGATTGTCGACTTTGTTTCCTCTTCGTAGGTTTTGTTCCGTTGCGGATTTATTACTCCAGTGTCTGCCATGTTAGCCTAAAATGAACTTCTATCGAGACATACGAAAGTTTAATTTTTGGTAGAACTAGTATTTTTCAAAGTTTTCAATTTTTCGACTTATGTTTTTTATAATTGTGTTTAATCGCAGGTGGTGCGAAGCTCCGCCTCGCCTCTGTGTATATTTTTTCTTCCAAGTTCGAAAGTTTCAAAAACGTTTTTTCTTTCTATTGTTCCTTGACTCTTGCAACTGTTTGTTGGCTTTGTTTGTTTTTGTCTTTTATCGCGTCGTGGCTTTTAATTTTTTTCTAAGTTCAATTGAAACGCATTTACTAGAAGGAAGCCAAATTACGCAAATGACTAAAAGATCGAAAAATTTTGAATGACTCGTAGTTTTACAAATAGATTTTACATTTTTAGAATTCCCAGCGGAATAAGTGTGGTTGATTTTTTTTTCTATAAGTGTGGTTGATTTTATCAAAGAAGTGTCAAATAAAAAGATTCATGAAGATCAAAGCGCTTTAAGCTGATATATTTTCTAATTGAAAAGATCATTGGATCATTTGCAATTTTTCTATGGCTTTGTTTGTTCTCTATCAAATATCATCAATCCAGAAATGTCTTAAACGATGACCGATACGGTGTTTTTCAGGAATTCCTGGATATTCAGGACAGAAAGGTGACAAAGGATCATCTGGTCGCGACGGTCTGAGAGGTGCAAAGGGAGATCGCGGTTATGCTGGACAACCAGGTGTAACTGGACCCAGAGGAGTTCCGGGAATGAGCGGAGACATTGGAAGCCAAGGACCGGTAGGAAGACCAGGAGCGGCTGGAATGCCGGGTTCCAGAGGACTTACCGGAAACGTGGGGCCCATAGGGAGACCTGGATATGCTGGACTGAAAGGACCCCGAGGTCTTTATTTTCGTCTTTACACAGCGAAGCGTAGAGTATTATTACGAAGTTTTTTTGTCCAACCTAAGTCGCAAATAGAAGTGCTCATTTGGTGGCACTTTTGGTATCTTTCAATTTAATCATATTTAAGCCTATTAAGGCATGAGCAATTTAAAAACATATGTTACTGCTTTATTCTGTGCTAGTTTTAGGTCCTGTTTGCAAAAAAAAACAGGTATCTTGAAAATGTGTAGTTTTGGAAAATTTTTGGACTTTTCACAGAAATTTCAATTTTTCTCAAAAACTTTGGTGCCAATTTTCAAAAAAAAGGTACCAATGGAAAAATTGGCTGCTCTTTTATGTGCCTGCATTATTCGCTAGTTTCTTTTCATTTCACCCCACGTTCTACGGCATCCGAAATTTTTGACCGAATTGTTTTGATCTTTTTAATTATCTCAAATAGTAAATGCACAAATCTAAGATGAGGGTTTCAATCAAGAGAACAATTTATTGGTATCTCCCCTTCTCAAGCAGCTATTTCCTAAATTCGGTAGAAAAAATTTCTGACCTCAAACAAGCCCAATTTTTTACATTTTGTTTATTGTTCAAACTTCTTTTCTCAACAAATACCCTGACAAATACCCTGGGAAAGAAAAACAGTCAGTTATGTGAATCTTTCCTGCGCAAGTGGCTAGGCCCTGCGATTTGAAAAAAAAATTTCTTTGAAAAGTCTAATTTTTCAATTTTTGACGGTTTTGTGGAATTTTTTTTTCAAACATTAAACTGCTGATTCTGAGGTTGATAGTTCATTCAAACTAACATGGTGGTTATTTTTACCTGCGCAATCTGTTAAACCCTATTTGTTTGTAAAAAAAGCTGATATAGACTCGGAAGATGCATATTTAGAAGTTTCATCACTTTTCTCGAAAACTAATAGCTAAATCTGATATCAATCGGTCGAATAAAAACTCAAGGTGTGGTCGTCTTCCTGTATAAGAGGCTATTTCCATGTTTTAAAAGAGAAAAGTTAATGGATTGAGGAATAGTCAAATTTTTTAAATTATTTTTTGGAATCATTTTCTTTTTTTTCGAAAACTACCCAGCCAAATCTGAGATCAAGACTCAAATTGAAAGAGCGAGTGGTAGTTTTCTCTTTTAAATAAACGGCTTAGCCTCTAATTATGCAGAGAAATCACTAGGGTTTTGCGTAAAGTCCTTTTTTTTGAAAATTACGCATTTCGTATTATACAATATTTAATTAAAAATATTGAAACAGGTGGATCCAGCATAAACTTGGTAACTAGCTAACTTCCAAGTGACCGTGACGCAGATTCGAGGGCGTGAGACTCCTAATCAACAGATCGGAAATTCAAATCCGGAACTTTGAAATTGTAATATTTTTTGGTCGAATTTTTGCTGCGTAGCATTGGCAATTCGTCAGAAAGTGTAGCTGCTTTTTTGGTGGCTAGTGTTAGTAAAATTACAAGCGGTCGTGGAGCAGTTGTGAGAACGTGATACTGCTAATCTTACCATTTTTTTCTCACGGTTTATTTTTAGTCTTTTCCTTGTTTCATTTTGTTTTGCCTGTTAAGAGCTCTTTTTTTTTGCATTTTCCTTGCTTGTGTTTGCGAAGCGCAGCTTCGCCTCTCTGTCAATTTTAGTAGCCTCAATTTTTCTCTAAGGTATTGACTGTTGTTATTATAAAAAAGTTCTCTACTTCTGATTCAGATCCCAAAAAGATGTCTCAGGAATAAACTTTCACTATAGTGAAAAACCGGTGTGCTAGTTTTTGCTATTATGACAAATTTATGACTAATATAGGAGGGCTCGATGAACTAACTCTAAATCAATTTTTAATATGTTTACCCTTGTGATTAGCAAGGGTTTTGTAACCTGGTACTAGTTGTTTGCCCATTTTTTCCTCAAGCTAATCAGTTTATTTTAGGATCTGAAGTTCCTGTTACTACTTTTGATCGCTTAAAATAGAGGTAACGCACATGCTTCGGACTAGAAAGGTTTGTAGTTTGCGTCCGTTTAGGAGCCTTACTGTTTCTAAATTGAAAATTTTTGGCTGAGAAAACTTTAGTTGTCGGGCTTTTGTTTGTCTGCTTATTTTTAGTCGACTAAGTTGCCAAAGCAATTCGAAAGTTGAACACCGGTTGCTATGCAAGTAGCACAGAATATTCCGACCACATTCTCAGAATTTTGTTTTGCTCATTATTGTGTTTTCTTGAACGTCGTGTGATGATAGAGCTGTACAAAAACGACGTAGAAACTTAGTGAATTAGACATAAAGGACTACAATCAATTGTCTTCAAAAAATTAACAAAAATGATGAAGAAAAAAATTTTTTCAATTTTTTGTTGTTGCCAGAGAAGCGCTTTATAAGGCATCCAAAACTATATTTTCTTTCATGAAAAATTATAAAATTTTAGCCTTAACCGGTAATTTTCCTACATAACGAACGATTCTCAATCGCTTTACTTGCTCGAAAATAGATGAAAAATCAAAAATTTCAAACCGGTTTTTCTCGACACTGGAAATGTTTTTTGAAAGTTATAACTGTCGTTCCTATCACGACTGAAAGGGCTTCAATATGATATATCTTTCAAGCCAGTGCGATGATTTTTTGTGGTACATGATTTTGCCTGGAAAACAAAAAAAAGAACAAAATGAGTTCATGGTCACTTTTCTAACTCTCTGTTGGCTATTTTTGTATCGCATGTGGTGCGAAGCGCCGCTTTGCCTGTATGTTTAATAGTATTTCAAAGGTATTTATATAGTAATTTGCCCATTAATTGCCGACAAAATACAGTTCAATTTATTGATACAAAAGTAGAAAATATTAATATTTGAATTCTATGTTCTTTGAGTATTCTTGAAATGGATTTCTTTATGTAGAAATGTTGGTAGAATAATTTGTTTTTGCTACTAACACTATAACCGGTACTTGTGTTTGGAGTTGAAAGTTTCCTATTTAAAGGCACAAAGGGAGAACCAGGTCTTACTGGGTTGCCCGGCGTGCCCGGTCTTCAGGGCTACCCTGGATCGAAAGGCGCCAAGGGCAACCAAGGTACCCCTGGATACAATGGTCAGCCAGGTATTCCTGGATCTAAAGGTGACCACGGTCTCCCAGGACCAGCGGGTCTTCCGGGGTTTGCTGGACAGCCAGGTCTAATGGGAGAAAACGGAATGACTGGATTGACTGGACCAATGGGTCCCGTTGGACAGAAAGGGTTAAGAGGTCTTCCAGGAATGCCTGGCCAAAAGGGTGATGTTGGATACACTGGATTCAAAGGCGATCCTGGCTTCATGGGCCTTCCAGGTGAATTTATTGTTTTGATTACAAATGTTTAATAAATCGTGAGTTATTCGCCAAGAATTTGACGAGTAGTGAATTCTCTTCGAGTGGCAGCTCAGGACATTCTACATATAAGCTGAAAGATTGACGACCGTTTTTGCCTGTATTTAGACGCCGTCTCAGAAAAAAATTATTTTCCCAACATAAAAAAACACTGCCTTTGAATTTGAGTTTTTTGATTTGGCCGATGTCAAAGTTTTAGCGCACTATGACGAATAATTTTAGTCTTCAACAATTAGCTTTCAAACAAAGTTCCTCAAAATTTAGGAATGGCTGGTCAACCTGGTTCTAAAGGATCTCCAGGAGCGCCTGGAAGTCCCGGCATGACTGGGACTCCAGGGCGTCAGGGAGCCAAAGGAGAACTCGGACGAGCGGGAATGCCTGGACAACCTGGATCTAAGGCATGTTCCTTTCACGTTTATGCCACTAATTTCATGAAGTTTTCTCTTTTCACGACTGGTAGTTGAAAATAATATTTCCAAACTGATTTTCGCTGAGTTTTGTTGACCAGTTTTCTATTTTTGAGTAATGTTTTTGGCATTTGTACTTTTCACCATTTAGCATCCGAATCAAACGCACAAAATATTTTAAACATGTGAAGGGAAATTTTGACTTCAATTCAATCTGATTTTGAAAGTTTAGCCGAGTCAATTAACAGAAAAAAATTCTTTTAGGGTCAAGTAGGGTTTCCAGGCCTGGCGGGCGCCCCTGGATTTAATGGTGCACCGGGACGAAAAGGAGATATTGGACCTCAAGGTGAGGATTTTCAATATTCTACCTGGATTGTTCGATTTTTGAGAATTTTAGTGCTGGTCACGTGACTTCAATCCTATTCTTTTTCACACCGCTTTGGTGCACGTGAAATATTTAAACCTTTAGCCAGATGGTTCTTTTCCAGTCCCCCCTCTTTGATTTTTTCTGAAAGTCATTATATGAAAGTTTATTTAAAATGACTGTTCATGTTAGGAACTGCATCAAAACGTGTCAGCGTGAACAGGTGAACAAATTTTTACAACATTTCTAACATGCAAATTACTGTGTGAACAATTTTTGAACATCTTTGTTATGTAATTTAACAAAGGGGTGGGAAACTGGAAAATGTTCATAACTTCTTCATAACCAGACTTTTAAATGTTCATAACTTCTTAGGTCTTTCTGGAGTACCTGGATTGAATGGACCCATGGGGCCAAAAGGAGACAGAGGAATGCCAGGGCAGTCTGGATTGAATGGAGAAAGGGGGATTCCAGGGGCCAGTGGGCAGCCGGGATTAACTGGACCAATGGGGTTGCGGGGGTTACCGGGTGCACCTGGATTAAAAGGAGACACCGGTTTGCTTATTTCAACTTTCATCATTTTGCGAAATAAATCATAGAAACACTAATTGAGGTACATTTATTTTGGAAGCGAAATGGTTTTACATTTAAAACTACCCTTTTCGCATGCGCTCTCCTTTAATATTTTAAGTTAATTTCATAAATTAGCTAATGCTGCTGATTACACCGAAGACTTTAGTCAAGGTGTTATGGTATCGTGTAACGGGTTTTTTTTTTTTAATGTTGTCTGTTGTCAAGTGTCGACAAATAACGTCCACAGTTATCAATTATCATGTGGGCTGGACTATATCGCGCTATGTCACGTGATTGCGTATGTTTGTTTCTTTATTTGTTCATCTTTATTTATTTAATTATCTGTTCTTCTATTTATTTAATTATGTTTAGTTTGCTTATATTTATTTATAATTTATGTATGTACATATTTATTTTTGTTTATTTTTATCACGTGTTTTGTTTATTTATTTAATTATTCTTTCTTTCATTTAGTTTTGCTTTTATTATTTCTGCGTGTGTATTTATTTAATTTATTTATTTTCATTTATTTATATTATGGGTCTGTTTAATTTTCATATTCATGTCTGTTTAATTATTTGTACATTTCACTTTTGCTTTTATTTATTTATTTATTTATTTATTTATTTATGTATTTATTTATGTATTTATTTATTTATTTATGTATTGATTTATTTTTTTATTGCTTATTTATTTATCAGGTGTGTTTTGTTTATTTGTTGATATTTATTTCTATATTTATTTAATTATTCTTTCTTTCATTTAGTTTTGCTTTTATTATTTATGTATGTGTATTTATTTCATTTATTTATTTTCATTTATTCATATTATGGGTCTGTTTGTTTGGTTATTTGTTCATATATATTTTTTCATGTCTATTTAATTATTTGTACATTTCACTTTTGCTTTTATTTATTTATATATTTATTTTTTTATGTATTCATTTATGTATTTATTTATTTATTTATGGTTTGATTTATTTTTTTATTGTTTATTTATTTATCAGGTGTGTTTTGTTTATTCGTTGATATTTATTGCTATATTTATTTAATTATTTTCTTTCATTTAGTTTTGCTTTTATTTATTATTCATGTATGTATTTATTTATTCATTTATTTATTTATGTTTATTTATTTTTGGTTTGTTCGTTCATTTGTTGGTTTGTTCGTTCATTTATTTATTTATTTAGTTAGCGTCTTTGTTGTTTGATTGTGAAATTTGATGTTTTACTTCTTAGCTATGTAGTTAAAAGCAAAAAATGATTTTCAATTTATTGTTCTGTTTAGGATATTTTCAGAAAGATCTGTATATCACCAATTAGCGTACAACGATTTACAGGGAACGCTGCCAACGAGATTTGTCCCCTTGCTTTTGGGTTGCAGCTACATCAAAAATGATTTTAAATTATTTATTTTAAAGATTTATCTATAGTTATATCTGTCCGGTAATTAATTTTCAAATTTGCTTTTGTATTTCTCAAAAAAGAATTTGTTGGAGCGTGGACTCAATAACGTAAAGCAAAATGTTAAATTTTATGTTACTTCTCTTTTCAGTCATGTAATGGAGCCATTTCGACCCACGGGCATTACAAATGATGACAACAGTTGCTATCTCAATTCTGTTCTTCAGCTTTTGTTGTCAAGCGCTTGCATCAGAGATCGGCTCAGTAGACTTACTGAATTTGACCATGGTGGCGTGTTAATTTCAACTGTGAAAGAGATATTTTGTCAAATGCTGTCCACAGAAAACTTTTTCATCAATGCGTCTACTTCCAAAGTTAAAATTCTCCAGCATCTTGATTTGAATTACAGCTTCTCATATACCTATGGACATCAGCACGATGCTTCCGAGGTACTACTGTCAATTATCAATGCATTTAAATCTGAGGGCCAATGGAATTTCTTTGAAATATCGTATTCAGATAATTTCACGTGTTGTCTGTGTAATCTGTCATGGAGAAGACCTGAAACTACTTCTGCGTTAGTTTTAAGTCCTCCACGCAATGGTCAACTTCTGCAGGAGCTTGTGGTCAATCACTTCGCCAACCAAGCCATTAATGTAACATGTCCAAATTCCACGTGTATCTCAGAAAGGGCAATAACAACTAAAGAACCAACCCATATTGCAAATACTGTTATTTTGCTGATTGCGCGTTACATGTTTGTCGCTGGCAATCGCGTTTACTCTAGAGCAGAAGTCACAATTGGTGAAACAATCGAAATTGGTGGATGTGATTACGGAGTAAAGGCTGCTGTTATTCACACGGGGTCTTTTGAATACGGTCATTACTTTACTGTCATAAAAACCGCTCATGAGTACCTTTGCGTTAACGATTGCACCATATCGCACCACCATGTCCCTGATTGGGGTTGTGCTTATGTTATTCTTTGTGAAAAGAAAGATATGTATCCAACACCCGCTGCCAATATTATGCTGCTGGACAATTTATCAAATAACACTTGTGGTAATGTTAAGAAATTAACAAAGTCAAAGATGGATCGGAAAGTGTACCAGGCAGAATGGGCACGAACGAAGCGCGAGAAGGCGAAGACAATAAACCACACAAATAGTTTTTCGCAAAATTCAGTTCCCAGTCACGTGGATCTAACACCAGTCTCCATTGAGTTTGATTTGGCGGCCACAATTTTTGATAAAAAGAACTCAAAAAGAGAATACAATCGGCAGCGTTTGGAACGTTTGCGTAAGAGTCCAACTTTTGTGGAGCAAGAGCGCGTATCACAGCGAAAAGATTCCATTGGTCAAGTGCGAACTGACCGCAAGCAAGAATATAATCGACAGCGATTGAGCAAATTACGAGTTTTGCCAAATTTCAAAGAACACCAACACTTGTCAAGAAGTAACGAACAATATAAGATTCTAAAGACAAATGTTGTTAAACAACATTTCCGAAATAACCCCCAGTACGAAGCTATAAATCGATTGAGAAGTCAACAAAGAATGAAGATTCCTAACGTTCTTGCTAAAAACAAAGAGATGGCTTCCAAACGTGCCAAATCAGCAGGAGTGAAAAAGCGAATTGTCAGTCGCAGAAAAATAAAACCTAGGCAAAAACTTCCGCCGAGTATTAAACAACTAGTGAGAAGGTGGAACAGAAAAATTTTAGACATTTGCCTCCAATTTGTTTGCACATGTTGTTCTCAGCAAAAGTACAGAGACCAAGTAACACCAGTTACGAACAATACTGGTTTATTTCAACGTTGTTGTACTGATTACATGTCTGTTGATAACATAGAATGGATATGTGTGTCATGCTCTCGTCAAATTAGAAAAGGCCTAGTTCCAGAAATGGCTGTTCTTAATGGTTTTAAATATGCAAGTATTCCGTTACAGTTCTCTGTCACCAGACTCGAAGAGTTACTTTGTTCTGCGCGTATTCCTTTCATGAAAATATTCTCAAGGCCCAGAGGGGGACAGTATGCTTCGAAGGGTGCTGTTGTTAATGTCCCCAGTAACATTGACCACACCCTCAAAATATTACCACGCCCTGCTAATGACAACTGTTTGCTTGCCGTTGACTTGAAGAGACGCACAACTGATAAAACTACTTACCTCAGTCGATATATTCGCCCTAAGCTTGTTCACGAATTTGCTGAATGGCTGTGTTTGCAGCCATTGTACGTTTCAGAAGGCATTATCTATGACTCATCGATAACCATGCAATTGGAGTTACCACCTAACCTTGAAATGGAATCTGATGAATCTGACGAAAGTAGCGAGGACGGTGAAATAGCAGGCTCCTTTGACACCTTGCTCAACTCGCGGCCTCTTATGGACATCAGTCTAAAAACTGTAACTGCTCCAACATCGGGTGAGACTCCATTGTCAATATTCACTGATGAATTTGGCGAGGAATATGCGTATCCAACCCTTTTTGCTGGCCAAGCGCGTGCTCGCAATACAGAGCGCAATACAGAGCGTGTTTCATACAAGAATATTTCTAAAGCAGAAATGCAAAACGTCAACAGAAAGTTTGCCCGTCATTCTGACAACCTCTTTTTCAAGACGAAAAAATGCGTCATCAAACGAGTCTTTAGTAATGCGCAAGTCGCTGTCCGCAAAAGACATGGCCGAAATTTGCGAGCTTCTGATGTTAAAGGCCATTCACTGCGTAATCTGTTCGACACAGACAAAGCATATGCATTTCTTGCGAATGAACGTTTCAGTCCACCGTACTTTGCCAAAATGGAAAAGAATTTTATGGCTCTCATTCGACAAAATGGCCCGCCGTCTCTGTTTATGACTTTCTCAATGGCGGAAGCCCATTGGACAGATCTTTTGAAAATTCTCTGGATGTCAGCAAATCCAGGGAAGCCATGCCCCACTGGTGAACAATTATTGCAAATGGGATATAAAGAAAAGGCAGACTTATTTAGGTCTGATGCCATAAACATTGCCCGGCACTACTCCAAGCGAATGGGATGGCTTCAGAAAGACATTCTTATGTCCGCTGCTAGTCCTGTTGGGCAAGTTGTCGATTACAAGTCAAGATGTGAAACTCAACAACGAGGTTCGCTTCACGAACATGGATTATATTACGTCAAAAATACACCTAAGCTTGATATTGATGACGATTTGCACGTCATTAACTTCGTGAATCGCGCAATATCTTGTTCCATTACTTTACCCGATATCGAAAAGGTTGTTCTGACGAAAGAAGACAGAGCACTACCTCAAAAACTACAATTGCACAAACACGACCGTCGTTTTTGCAAGACCAACGGACTGCAGTGTAAAAACAAGTTTCCTGTTCCCCCCATGCCTTACACAGTAGTTCTTCGTCCTCTGACTTCAAATGTTGCGAAACATAAAAATGAATTTCGTAAAATTATAGAATTCATAAACAAGTTACCACGAGGAATCAATTGCGTTATGACGTTTTCAACTTTTATTGAAACCCTGAAAATGTCCGTAGATGAGTATTTATTGGCAATTAGATCTTCAATCAAAGAAACAACTTTTTT